CTAGGCATTGAGGGTAAGCAGGGCAGTGGGAAGGGGCTCATGCACCTGGGCAGCTGCAGCGGAGGAAAGACAACGCCCGGACAATAGGACCTTGGTTAGCAAAGGCCTGGAGCATGCTGTTCACAAAGCTGCTGGCGCAAGCTCAGCCCAGAACTGGCTTTTAATAGCACCTCTTCCCATTTGGATTCATAGAGGCACACTTAATCCTTCACACTCAGCCCTTACAGAAATCAGCTGGCCCCATTTCCATTTCTTTGCCAATATAAGCAAACTGTGGGATTGCATAAAAAGACGGGTATCTGGAGAGTCCTTAGAAGTTACAGCTATGGAGTGATTTGGGGGAAGCCCATTACATAATCAGATAAAAACCGCACATAAGTATGCTATCTCTGGGGTTGGTCATCATGAGGCCCTGGGAGGCCCAATGGCCATTTCCTATGTCAGCCTCCCAGCTCCTGTGGCTACAGGGACACATGAAAGGATACTGCTTCTGTGGCTAGCAACAGCCAGGCAAGGAGCCTGAAACAGACCTCCTTCTGCCCAGCATCTCCTGGCCCCTGCTGCCTGGAGACAGAGGCAAGGGAGCTAGCCAGTGCATCTGGTTTTGATTTGTTTGTTTTTTTTCCAAAGAGACAGGAAAATCCTCCTGCTGAATGTGGTAAGGATTCTCTGTAGCCAAGACAATGTGAAGGCTGAAAGGAAAGGCACCAGCTGCCCTGCTTGGCTGGTGCGGCCCAGCTCCCTTAGACTAAGAACGAAGGCTGGGGGCTCTGTGTCCAGGGGTGGAAAGGATCTGTAGGTCTGCCTGCACCATTCACTGGCTTCCCAACTAAATGAGCAAATGCAGAGGTGAAGTAACCCGGAGGGGTCCCAGGCGCTTAGAGACATGCTGTCCCCGCCTTCACATCTGGAATCTTGCATACCAGCCAAAAGAATAGACCGATGGGACACAGCACTGCAGGAGCTAAGATAAAAGTAGAGACCAGATAGCCTTGGCCCACAGAAATGAACTATGCATGAGTCTGAAATGAGCAACTGGTACCTGCAGGTCCTGCAGCTCTTTAGAGCTTTCAGGAGAATCAGCGAGCCTGTGGCACAAGTCCTGGAAGGTTTGTTAGGTCCAATAGGACACATATCACACCTGGAGGAAATTGAGGGGCAGGCAGCTAGGTGCTCATTTATGAAATGGGGATAAAGCTCATGAGGTTCAAAATGAGCTATAGGTAAGTGGCAGCCCTGCACATGACAGTATTCAGCAATGGAAAGGTATGAAGTGTCTAGTCTGCCACCCAGAGAGGCTGGCAAAGGAGCTGCCCTGACTCCACATGCCAGGTCCCATGTCACTCTCTCAGCCACTTGATCATATTATCCCAGTCTCTTCCCTAGCATC